TCGGTTTCTGCAGTACTTAAATTTCTAACATTTCATTTCAATAAGGGGTCTTCTCTTAGCTCTCTGAATTCATATAGAGCAGCACTTTCACAGATTCTAGGGCCAAATCTTAGTGAAGATTTCAGAATTAAAAGATTTTTCAAAGGACTGAGTTGCATAAGGCCTCCGCTCCCGAAGTATAACAACACCTGGGATCCAGGCATAGTTTTGAACTATATAAAAAATTCATATTCTACGAATCCTACTTTAGAACAGTTAACTCTCAAGACGGCCATGCTCTTCGCCTTAGCAACAGGCCAACGCGTCCAAACATTAGCTAGTATGGAAGTTTGTAATATTCAAAATTTCTCAGATCAGTTAGAAATCCGCATATCTAAAAGGATAAAGACATCTGGCGTTAACAAAATGCAGCCCACATTAGTTTTGCCATTTTTTTCCGGATAATGTGAATATTTGCCCAGCCAAAACGTTACTGTTATATCTGGAAAAAACAAAGGCTATTCGAGGTAACGAACTGAGTTTGTTTCTATGTTTTAAAAGGCCGCATCGAATAACCTCTGCTCAAACCATCAGCAGATGGTTAAAAACTATGTTATTAAAGAGTGGTATAGACATAAGTTCTTTTTGTGGTCAGAGCACTAGACATTCAGCTACTTCTGCCGCCTCCAGGAAAGGGATAAGCTATGATAGCATCCGGTTGGCCGCGGGGTGGACGGAAAAATCCAAAACATTCGCAAGATTTTATCAAAAACCATTAGTTTCTAGTAGGTCTGACTTTGCGGAAGCAGTGTTCAGTTGTGCCTAATGTTAAAGAAATTAGAAATAATTGTTCTTGTTCACTATAGAGAAATAGTGGAAATCACTGTTAAGTTTGCAGTTACTACTATGTATAGTTACGCATATGTAACTTGATGATACTAAACAAATTGTTGCAACTTACTTTGAACTACTACACTTATCCTTAAATATGAAGGCGAGGCGCAATATAATTGAGAGATTAAACGAACTTACCTAAGTGAAGTTTAATCCTAATTATATGAGCCTTGCCGGAATAAATAAGCTCCCGCCCTTTACTCTACCCTCCCCAATATGTTGCAACAAAGCTTTGAACAGATATGAGGGTTCGACGGAGTGGCGGCAGGACAGGACTGTATCCAGGGTGAGAAAATTTGCTTTGAACTGTGTGAGATTTGACTGCAAGCAGAGCTACTACACTTATCCTTATTTATTCCGGCGAGGCTCATATAATTAGGATTAAACTTCACTTAGGTAAGTTCGTTTAATCTCTCAATTTTCATCTATCGCCTTTCCTCTGCTCATTTTTGTCAGCAACTACGAGGTACGGCCGCCTGATAAACTAAGGTTCGCTAAAACAATCGAGCTTCGTTGACAAACAAGCATTGTTACCACGTCCGTCTTGACAAATCATCGTTAGCAATATTTGGGTATTGAAGTTTTTTTACAGTTGTCGATTTTTTATGAGTTATTTCCTAAATTGCTATAAATAGCATATTTTATCTTATATCTTACGATATCTTTTATATCTCCTATATTCTAGTGGGTTTTTTGCCGATAAAAGTCAAAAAAACTACAAATTTTGTGTGTGGGCCAACTGAAACTGGTCAGGGCTCGTATAACATTTTCCGCTGCCTGAAAATCCTTAAAAAAAGATTGATGCATGAAGATCACTTTAAATGGATTGGATACCTTCGACTTGGCGACAACATCAGCCCACTGTGAAGGAACAAATACATTAGAGAATTTTTTTGTCTTTCTATGAGAGCAAAGTCTCTATCACACGGCAAAAAGCTATGCCCGCTCGTAAGAAATTTTTATTCGACTTGAGAAAATAACTTTTCTAAGTCGCAGCATTGTCAGCATTTTCCATTTATTGTTCTGGCCCATGCACCTGTCTGACCATACAACTAGTTTTCTTTCTTCACTTGGTTTGAGACGACTATACTTGTTAGTAATATAGAATAGAAGTGCTGAAGCAATCTCTGTAGATCCCCGGTGTGCCATTGCTTCATGCCATAGTAACATTGTTGCATTTTCCTCCCCCATATTATGAACAGCATAGTTATATGTTGAGAATTGTCTTTGGTGGAATACAAACATAATTGAGATTGAGTTTAGACGTCTCGGTATCATCTTTCAGTGTTTTATGACCCGCTTCAGCTTTTCTATGGTGGATCTCACTCTCGATTTCTATTTTTTTTCTTTGCATTAGCGTCATCAGTTGAACAAAGTTTCATAAACTGCTTGTCACAATACGAACATGTGTCAGATCTTGGTAGACCAAATCGCAGATTGAACTTGCTCTTGAAAATGTCGTGATACACCCTCAAGGAAATATTATTTGCATCAGGGTATTTCTCCTTAAAATGTCTGAACATTTTTGAGATATTTAGATCAGCTGGAAGGCATTGTTTGGCTGAAGTATTTCTGCTGTAATGATTTTCCTGTAGGGGGAACGATCGGATGTGATCGGAAATGAGACCTACGTCCGTGTTTTTCAACTTTTTAGGATGATTGAGATGCTTTCCACGTCGATCTTGAAGGTTATTCATGTTCGCTTTAAGTTTACCAATAAGCCACTGTAATCTTCTAGGAGTAATTGAGAATATACAACAAACTGTTCCTCTACATACTTGACTGCCATTAAACTGCCATGCAAGTGTACCAAAGACTGCGAGATACAGGAAGTGTTCAACCCACTAATATTCGCACTCGTGAAAGACAGGTTACTGTAGAGCAGGAGGAACAAATTTTAAAAAACGCGAGACGGGATATCATTTTTTCATAATACTCACAAACGGGCCCAAGAAAATCCTCATACTATTCGTGAAGGTCATTTCCAACAACGTTTTAAAACAAATATTTGGGTGGGTATTCTTGACGATCAAGTGATTGGCCCTTACCTACTATAACAGAACTTTTGGAACAGACCTTAGACAACATGCCATTACAACGGGGACAGAATTTGTGGTTTTAGTATTTGAATGAACATTATCCAAATCGCTGGATCGGTCGAAATGCTCCTGATCTTCGAAACTGGCCAGCAAGATCCCCTGACCTCAATCCGATGGATTTCTGGTATTGGGGAGAACTTAAAGGGATGGTTTATGGGGCTGGTCCAATAACAACTGAAGTACAACTTCGCGAAAAAAAAAAATTAAAGCGGCTAAAATAATAAATGGACAACTTCAAGGACCTAGAGTAAGAAGAAACTGGGTTCGTCGTAATGAAGCTTGTGTGGAAAGTGAAGGACGACATTTTGAACATGTTCTTTAAATACAAAGAAGTGCAGTGTGGGTTTTAAAAAGAAAAACAATGTATGTCTCAAAATTGTGTTCCCTATTTATAACTGGATTTTTTTAATACGTTCAATAAACTTTCACATACCAGGTGAAGCGCTGAGACAGTTAGTGGTAAGTCCGTTTTTTTAATTGTTTGCATTTTACGAGTACATTATCAAATAATGAAATAATACCTAAGAGCCAAAAATAACAAACTCCATCTTTATTTACACTGCGGTCCGTCGTAATTTGCGTCTGGAATTGCGGCATTGTCAGATTTTATTTTACTTTAGAGTCGCTTTTCTCTAAAAAAAATGCCGTTTTGACCCCCATGTTATATGAAAGTTTTTGCTTCTTTTAACTCCCTCTATCACCCATTTAAATAATGACTATCATAACGTTTACACCCTGTATACAAAAAAACGAACATTTGTTATAAATCTTGCTCCAGAAATTTTACCACGATGACTCCGGTATTGCTTTGCACAAAAAGAACTTGACTTCACACTCTCTAAAATGTTGTTTGGTAAAAATATTTACTTACGATTTTGCCATAGAATCCAAATTCTTTCTTCTCATCCCATTATTTCACAAATACGGGCTATTTTATTTCACATAGTATATGAATATTATGTAAAATATAAAATATATAGAAGGATAATAAATGGATGATCTTTGAGTGGTCTAGCTATCTTCGTCTGTCACACGCTCGCCATCCACCAAACTCATGCACAGAGAAAACCAAATTTGTCTGACGGCTTGAGCGCGACAAGTGTGTATGTTAGAAAGAGATAGAAGCCGGCTGTTCAGCGAAGGTCATCACCACACTGGCTAGCATATAATTTAATATTTTGTTTTCATTTTGATTAGAATTATTTATCTCTTTCAATTTTGATGCAACTTACTGTTTCAATTTCTTTTAGAATTATCTTTGATTTCCACCGATGGTGATACAATCGACACACCCTGAACTATTGTTACTTTCTGCGACAGCGAGCGTCCGGAAAATGTAACAAATCGTTCATCTATGATCATAGAGGTGGAAATGTACAAGATGCGGTGTTGTGAGGGGGACGAAGGATACAATATTGCAGAATTTGTATGCGATCCTAACCTTTCTTTACGACCCAAAATAAAGCGCCATTAGGACCGAAATCGATCCTGAACGGATTCGACACATTGGCAACGCGGCAGGTTGCCTCGACAGCGTTGCTAGGCAACCCTGAGATGAGTTTCGCTATCCAGCCGACTTCTGTCTCTTTCTGACATGTGTGTCTATACACACTTCTGTCTCGTACACATTAAACTCAGGCCGTCAGACAGTATCTACTTGCATACAGCTTTCTATTGGTGAGTCCGACAAACCTATCTATCTTTTTCAAAACTGCTGCCTTTTAAATTCCTTTTCATGTTAATTTACAAATGCATCAACTATATGTTTATTTCAAAGTAAATCGTGAATCGATGGGTTTCGAAATTTCTCACTCAAAAATAAAGACTCTGTCGGACTCACCAGAAGGAAGCTGTATGCAAAGTTTTGAGTATATCTATACCTATTAATCATTGAATAAAATGGGTTATGGACTAGAGGCCAATAGCGCTGAATCTTAAAATACGCTACTGGTCGAAATAGCACGAGTTGTTTGCAGCCTTCCTCTGAATACTTGACGCCTTAGTCTATCTAACTAGTTCGTTACTTACCTGATAATTTGGCTCAATGTAGTTGTTAACAAATAGTAGGTTGGACCACCCGTTTATAAGACAGCTACCGCCAATTTTTTTTATTAGTAGAGACCAAAAGGGACCACTGCCCATAAGTTTGAAGACACCTATCGAGAACATTATCATTGCTATCAATCCTGGCCATATCCTACAACAGCGGTATCTTACTATTTGCTGGAACAACGGTTGGCGACAAACCAGAACATTGTAAAACAAAGAAGTAATCTAGAGGTGGGGTACTGCTAAACGAATGAGTTACCTTAAAAGTCTATACAGTTGCAGTGCTAAGAGGTTCATGTTTGTACTCCTGCCAATGAGGTTTCTGTACGAGAGATATCCGTAAGAGAGTAAAAGGCCGCTAAGAGAAAAGAACATATCCACTGACATAACAGCAGCTACAGACATAACACCAGGAAATGAATACTTCCACTAAAAAAAAGTAAATTGAGAGAATTAAAATGGAAATACAGGGCGTGAATCTACATCACAAATTAATGTTAGTTTGCTTTATAAACTATGGTCCAAAAACGTTTCCTTGCAAAAACTCGGGGTGTTGAAGTTTTAGGAAAAAAATGGAAATTAATTAATATTTTCAGAACCGCTTCAGATATTTCACTGATATTTAGTACGTAGTGAAAGTTAATAAAGTTGCATATTTTTCAATGCAAAAATAAGTTTTAGCTTTAACAGTGGCGTGCGTACGGGTATTGACTTCGATATTTTTTAAGAAAAAAATGGTACACCAATGGTTTTTTGCCAAATAAAAATTATTTTTAAATTCCCCGTTCAATTTAAAATAAATGATCTCTCTTGAGTTGATTTCCTTCGATGCGCCATTTCTGAGTAAACAAATAATGCAAAATTATTATTAATTTAATTGGAAAAATTAAATACATTAGGGGTAACGAACAACAAAAACTAACAACATAAACATAACATTAAAATCGACGAAATTATTACAAAAATTGTTGAAAATGACCCGTCGTTTAAGCTGCGCTTTTTTGTAGTGCCAGAATAAAGAAACCTTTGAAACACGCAAAAATAGTCTTAGTGTCACTAACAGTAGCTGAAATAATTTAGAGCTTCACCGAGTACCCGGTACTCGGTATTTGTATTATCTGACCGAGTAGTCGGTACTCGCAACTGGTCAAGATTTGACTGAGTTCGTATTTCCTACTGTTCGTATGGTACCAATGGTGTAAATTTGAATTACCCTGCATTGACTTACATCTTTATGAATGTAAACCGCATTTGTGGCTCCACCTATACCGTTGAACATCACTCTATGCCCATATATGACCCACAGCATGCCTAATACTTTCAGGCCACTTAAACATTGTAGGTAATGCATTTTATCTGGGCTGTCCTCAAGTGTAAACAGCTTTTTCGAATTCGAGTATAGGGAAAAACAGGCTAGTATACTTTTTTCATTTTCTGCAAGTGAAGTAAATGATATTTGTATTATTTTTAAATTAATCTATGTTAAGCACGAACATACCGACCACTGAAGATGTATAGGGGTCAAACCTAGAATCCCACGACCTGGCTTGGCAGGTCATATCTCAGATAATGATAATAATAATAATAATAATAATAATAATAATAATAATAATAATAATAATAATAATAATAATAATAATAATAATAATAATAATAATAATAATAATAATAATAATAATAATAATAATAATAATAATAATAATAATAACTCGTGGATAAAATCCTTCAGTGCACTCCACTGTCATCTGGCTGTTGCTATGAGCAATTTGACCAAATACCCTAACAACACTCCGCATTGGTTGACAACTGGAATCACATATTTGCTGTACAAAAGCAAAAATTCTAAAGAGGCAAAAAATTATCGTCCAATTACCTGCTTACCCACACTGTATAAGGTTCTTACTTCACTTATTTCTAATAGACTATATGACCATCTGTCCACTAACAACATTCTACCGTGTCAGAACAAAAAGGCTGCCGTCGATCAACTCAAGGCTGCAAGGATCAGTTACTCATAGACAAAATGGTAGATGCCAAGAAGAGAAAACGAAATCTAAGCATGGCCTGGATAGACTACGCCAAGGCATTCGACAGTATACCTCATAGTTGGATCCTTGAAGCTCTGAGTTTATATGGGGTTAATCCGATTGTTGTGAAGTTCCTCGAATCATCTATGAAGAAGTGGAATACCGAATTACAGCTGCATAACGCTGAAGGGTGTATAAAAACTGATAAAATAAGAATCCGCAGAGGGATATTCCAAGGAGACTCCTTGTCACCGCTGCTATTCTGCATCTCCCTGGTTCCACTGACTAATGCTCTGAATTCTGGGAAACTTGGATACGAGGTCAGGCAGGGTTCCTATATAAGTCACCTATTATATATGGATGACCTCAAGTTATTCGCATCCAGCAACAAGCAGCTAGATAGAGAGCTAGACATTGTGAAGCGGTTTAGTGAGGACATATGCATGCAGTTTGGCCTGGAAAAATGTAAAAGGATCACGATTACCAAAGGAAAGATCTCAATGAATGTAAACCAAATAACTGAAAATAGTGCAGGATTTGACTACCTTGATCCAAGTGAGACCTATAAATATCTTGGCGTTCATGAAAGTGACGAGGTACATCATGAATCTATGAATCTATGAAAGACAATGTGAAGAAGGAATACTATGGTCGGTTAAGGCGAATCTTGAAAACAGAACTGAGCGCCGAAAATAAAATAAAGGCAGTCAACAGTCTTGCTGTACCGGTAATGCAGTATAGCTTTGGAATATTGAACTGGAGTGGATCAGACATTGAAAAAAAAGATAGAAAAACCAGGAAACTGTTAACCATCTATAAGTTTCATCACCCCAAAGCTGACAAGGACCGACTCTATATTCCAAGGCGCGATGGTGGCAGAGGTTTAATTGAACTCTGCAGTGCCTACAGGATGACAATTGCCGGCCTTTATGAGTATATACTCCATTCCAACGACAAGTTCATCAAGTTAATGCTATTGCATGAGCAACAAAAGGCTAAATACTCCATTACAAAGATCGGGGAAGCCATGAAAAGACAATATGCATACCAATTGAACGAAGATCAGTCAGCGGACAACTTGAAACTCAGAGTAAAGGAGGCCATGCGAACAGAAAAAGTCAACGCCCTAAAATCGAAACCACTTCATGTACAGTTCTACAATAACCTACACCTACATGTCCCTGGATTGGATGAAAATTACAGGATTGGAGGCGGAGATTGAAAGTCTACTGATTGCTGCACAGGACCAGGCACTTAACACGCGCTACCATAGAAGAATGGTCCTGAAACCAAATGTCGACAGCAAATGCAGAATATGCCATCAATGTGAGGAACATATAAGCCACATTATTTCAGGCTGCTCAACACTGGCACCAACAGAATACACCGAAAGGCACAACAATGTCGCTAAATACATACACTGGGCTATCCTCAAGCAGCACCAAGTACCAGTTAGCAACAACTGGTATGATCATTCTCCTGAAGTAGCAGTAGAGACAGACGAAGCATCAATTATGTACGACAAAGGAGTCATTACCGACCGTACGATTTCCGCCAACCGACCTGATATTATTTACCATAATAAAACACAGAACACATGCCTGCTAATTGAGGTATCTGTACCAGACGACAACAACGTCAACACCAAAGAAGCCGAAAAGGCCAGAAAATACAAAGACCTCGAAATATCGCGCATGTGGAAGACAAAGACAAGAACGGTACCCGTGATCATCGGAGCTTTGGGGACTGCCACTATGTCATTCAAGAACAACATAAAATAACTCCCCGGAGACAACACAAGTTCAAAAGATAGCACTGCTAGGAACAGCCCACATCTTGCGGAAAACCCTTCCGACTAAAGACCTTAGAACTTAGGCAGAGTTCCGGTGAAGCTCATCCCTTCCTCTAGGAGTGAAATACAGAATAATAATAATAATAGCGACAATTTCTTTTTATACTCCAACTACCACGAAGGCCTAAGGCCTTAACACCCATTGGGTACCGTGGGGCTATAGTGGGATACAGGGGACGCCACACGGACTCTGGCGAGGGAACACGTGTGCACGCAACATGCACACATTCTGGCTCCGCCTACGAGATCCGCCGGGTGGTACCTCCGCGTTCGAAAGTCAGAGACCGCCTACCACATACGGACAATTACAACATCCATAGCCAAGAGAAAAATGTCTCCTGGGACGGGACTCGAACCCGCACAGCGCACGGCGACTGATCAGAAGACCGAAGAGTCTACTACTGCGGCCACCGCTGGTGCCTAAAATGATAAGAATAATAACAGAACTGTCTCCGGGACCGGACAGGATACAGAACTTCTGGATGAAGCAGTTCACGTATCTGCATACCCACCCATCCAAGGCCTTCAATCATGTCATGAGAAATCCAGAACCCTCCCCGGACCGGCTGACAACAGGTAATACCATCCTGATATCAAAGAGTTTGGAGAAGTGCTCAGGGTTGAAAGGTTTGGAAAAAATATGAATTTTAACGTTCTGGCAGCTTTTCTATTTTTTCGCTACTCCTGAAAGCAATAAACCCCATAAGACTATATAAGTACAGTGGAATCCACTTATAATGAACTTGCTCATAATGGAAACCCGTATATAATCGATACAATTTAAGGCCCTATAATTAATTGCATTTAAAATCCTCGGATATTAAAGACTCGCATTCTAACTTGGCCACCAGTGTTATACTGTATTTATTAGAGTTATAAACATGTCGAAAAGTGCGAAACGTGCATTCACTTTACACGAAAAGTTCACAACAATTAGTGAGCTTGAGCAGGGTTCATCTCAAGCAAATATAATTATGTGCTCCTATGGCACTGTGTCAAATATTTGGAAAAACCGTGACAAGATTAAAAATAACTGGAAATCAAATAGTCAAAAGAAAAAATGCGGCTATCGCTGCATCCCCAAGTCGATGATAAGCTGTTTAAATGGTTTCAAAAAAAGCGTGCTAATAATTTTCCAATAAGTGGACCTATGCTACAAATAAAGGCTGAAGAATTTGGGAAATTGATTGGAGATTACTTCAAATATAGTTCCGGTCGGCTAGACAGGTTTAAGAAAAGACATAACATTGTTTTTGGAAAAATGTGTGGAGAGTCAGCTTCAGTTGAGAAGAACGTTACCAATGACTGGATTTCTCAAGTTTGGCCCGTAATATCCAGTGAATATTCAGATGATAACATATTCAATGCAGGTGAAACCGGGATATTTTGTAGAATGGTACCAGATAAAACTCATAAATTAGAAGGTGAAACCTGCAATGGAGGGAAACTTATCAAAAGAGCGAATAACTGTTATGATTTGTGCTGATGCTCCTGGTACTGAAAAACGGAAACTGTTGATAATAGGTACGTGAAAGAATAGAAATTCATGTACTAATTTTTTTGATATACAATGGCAGCGCTGCAAAGAATTTATGACCTTCTTTTTATTTCAGGGAAATTTAAGAATCCCAGGTGTTTCAAAAATGTTAAAACAATTCACGCCGATTATGTTGGAAATAATAAATCTTGGATGACTTCATCAGTTTTTGAAGAATATTTAAAAAAGTGGGACGCTGAACTTGTTAAGAAAAATCGTAAAATTTTGCTCTTGATCGATAACTGCCTCGCTCATTCAAATATTTCACTAAATAACATCAACCTTAAATTTTTTTCACCCAATGTGACATCAGTTCCGCAACCAATGGACCAGGGTGTCATTTTTAGTCTTAAACAAATGTATTGGAAACATCTGTTGATGAAAATTATGGAGCTTCAAGATGTCAACATTACCAAAGCTGTCACCATTCTAGATGCTATAAATTTGCATACTATTGCATGAGAATTGGTTACTCCAGAAACGATCCGTAATTGTTTTCGCCATGCTGGTTCAGTGAAAAACATAACTGAAATAGTCAGCGATTTTAATCCAGAAGATGAAATTCCATTAAGTGATTTACTGAAAATTAATAGTTGTTATAGACAAATTTAATGAGTATGTAAATGTTGACAATTATTTAATAGCAACACAGGAATTGTCAGACTCCAATTTGGTTAATGAAGGATCCGTTGATAACGAACAGGAAGACGAACTAGAAACTAACGATGAAGAAGAGCTTCCAGTGACAACTAAGGAGGCATTAGACTGCCTGAAAAAGTTGCAACGTTATTTTCAGCACGAAGAAGACAGTACAGCCACACTTACCAAATTAAATAAAATTCAACTTGCTGTTTTAAATAATTATACAAAAAACAAAAACAATCTCTTTTCTACCAAATAATTTACGGCTTTTATACATACCTACACAGTACGTATGTCAGTAAAATACAGGGTGTTTCAGTTTATTGTTGCATAACTTTAAGATTCGATAGAACTAAAATTAATGCATAAAGTCTAT